AAACGCAGTATGGTGATCGAACAATTTAGCATGTTATTTATAGATTTTAAGACAACACATTAGTTTTGTTATGCACAAAACAGGAGCGAAATTCTCTATAAAATCCTGTGCTTCTCCCACTAACATGATGAAAACGCTAGCGGAAAATATACTGATTGAATGGATTCTGTAACCTGACACAGTATTCGTTGTAAGCTACAAAATAAATAGTTGTCCCTGGATTAGTGACATATATGTACAAAGAAAAAATTGACTGCTTATCCCATTGAGTTCCTTCTTTCTATTATTGCAGATTTTCTTCAAATATATACTGTGTATCCAAATCGAATTGGGAACTATATTATATTGATTTTTCTCTGGGACAGTCACCATTATTATTTAATATTTTATGATATGAATGATTTAGATATTACTATCATTAATACTATTGATAGTAATCATATCCAATACAGAGATGTATAGCATATGAAGTTGATTTCGGTGAACCTCTAAATAATAAATATCCTTAAATCTCAAGATAAAGGGGGACTAAAGACGAAGAAAGTTTAAATGTATACTAAGGAATGTTAGTATAACTAGTAAAAGTATTGGAAGGAATACGATAATTCACATTCTATTTCATTTTTTTGTTAATTTGTATAGAAATACTTACTGAAATCTGATTTTTTTTAATCTTCATGATAATCTTCGTCTTCCACATGGATACTATATCTTGTAATGTTGTCTATTAGTCCGTATGACAATTCGAATTAATCGAGTTGATGTGCTAACTATAAACTCCCAGAATGGTCCAATTTAAGGCATACAGAACTCTATAAGCACAACTGAGCTTATTATACATGGAATTCGAATTAGCCGCAGAACAAATTATAGAGGAATCATTATTATGTACACACGTTACAGTCCATTAGTCTGTTTCCCAACATCATTATGCGTTACCTTCAGTACTGACATGAACTGCGTACAAATGTTTAAAAGCATAAAAACTGTTCTGTACACAGATTTTCAAATAATATTTTTATGAGAAAACTCCTAATCCTTTAAAGAGATGAACTACTAATCAAGGGGTAAGGAAGAACAAAATTTAAGGGTCAGATAATAGTCGTTTTTCTTCATATCTGTCAATTGGACTATTATCTGAACCTTAAATTTTGTTCTTCCTTACCCCTTGATTAGTACGTAACCTCATTTGTTATTTATTGTCGAATCCATTTTTGTGATACAATCCATTCTATCCTTCTATAGACATACATTTTCCATATAACTATATATACGAATGTACAGCTTAAGTAAATGATTTCGTCGAAAAGAAAATTTTCTTCGCTGAATTCTCTTTTTCTTGTTTTATCTGTATCTGATCAAGCGGCTAATAATGACTCTCTAAACTAAAATGTTAAAAATTTTTGCATGAGCATTTGTTAATACTTGAGCTACAAACGAGACACTAAATTGACTCAAGTATATTCAGAAATAAACAAATAAACAGTGTAGACGGTGTTATCTCAAACTGGCCTTAGTTGGGATAGCACTGGAGACCAGAGATCCATTATTTATAACTCCCTTATCGCCACTTTGATAACTTCCATGTACTCCTATATACTGTGTGCACCAAAAGTACCCTTTGACTTCATTTATTCAATAGACCTTAATATCAATAATGTACATACAAATCTTCAACTACAAAAATCTAAACAGATTACACATTAAATTGCCCACAGCCTAACTATGAACAAAACATGGTTGACGGCATTAGTTCAGGATTGTTATGACCTTATCTATCCCTAATAAATTTAGTCTCAATTATTTCATTGAAAAAAGCTTGGAGAGTATTTGATATGTTACGATCCTGGCGATGTACTTCAATTCTAACCAACACGACAAGTGATATTCTTCTAACCTTAAGAATTGTTCTTGCTATATTTTTTATTGGTTAGTTACAAGCTGTGTTGGTTGAAATTAAATTCCCATACCAATGAACATAAAGTTGGTTGGACTGTGTCGATGACGTTGATTTCCATAATAAAGTCACAACCCTTGATATAAATTCATCCTAGTTTTTCGTAAACAAAATATCCTTTTTTCCATAGATTTGACATAAATCCGTTCTGATTGGAGGAATTTATTTATGGAAAAATCAATTTTACTCATTGATCGTAATTTTACGGTCAGATAAAGTAAAAAAGAAAACGCCTAGTTGTTTTAAATAGAACGATGTATTTATGTCTAAATGTACACTTACTATCGATCTAATATTTTTCTGTATTCTAAAACTCTCGTAGTAAATTTTACTTTTATTTAAATAAAAGTATAGAAATATTAACCTCATGGATACCATAATACCGATTAATGTTATCTTACTACGAATTCAAGATTAAGAACTATGATTTTAAGAAAACAGAATTTGAAATTACTTCGGAAACAAAACACTCAGAGTTTGGTTTATTATGTGGCTAAATTTTGAATATCTGATTCTTCAATTTTCAAAATAGATATACCATTATGGAATACCGACTGGACTTATGAAATGCTCCAAGCCTAAGCCTTTTCACTCCTAATACTTTTCTCTGCAATTCATTTTGAAAATCTCGCCCTCATCTAGATCCCTAAAGCCAGTGGAAGTCTATTGACTGTTTACAAGGACTAGCTAACCAATCATTTTCATTTCTAAGTTTTGACAAAGTCAATGCTTTAAATCAAACTGTAATTAGAGTCGAGTACCATAAGTGATGTTTGTCCTCGCTGCTACTCATTTTTACTTAGTCGCCTTAATGAAATGCTCCTAGCAACGTTTTCTCACCTGGACACTCGCTCGTTAGCTAACAATATCCAAAGGGTACAATTCTGTTTGACAAAAATACTGCAAAAATGGAGAGTCGTTCAATCATCTTGAGAAAACATAATAATGTTTTGGGTGCATTTCTTTCTATCAAGATATGAAATGTTGTTCTTGGTATGATCTGAGTTAAAATGTAGTCTACGTATACGGAATGAGGTAGTCCAGCGTGTTGACCACTATACGTATCTCAGAAATCTTATTACTTTTGATAATTTGGTGGCTCAAGAAATCTTAGCACTGATGCAAAAACTGGTGTGATGTTCCCCAACTTACACCACTTGTTACAAAAGCATGATACTCGTCCGTCCACCGAAGAGCACAGAGACTGAGTAGTAGTTCACTATTTTTAAATTTATAGCTCTTAAATATGATCAACGTAGATTATCATCATAAGTCTCTTCAACGATTGCCCGAGTGAGTAATCCACTTAGACAAGGAATCAAGTAAAAATGGCAATTCGGTTGTTGAGCTTAATCAAATGGGGTGATTGTAATGTGTTAAAAATAACCAGGGATAAAACATTTTGAAGTGCTATGATCGCTGGTATATGAGTGAGTTGGAAGAAGTCTAAGGACACCAAAACAAAGATATAGTATCAACCAATGAAAACACTGATTATAGCTATGTAAAAGGACGTAGATTTCCTGGTTAGGATCCGTATAATGGTCGTGATCTATCATTAGGAACTTTAGGTGAGGAAATCGACCCGATGCAACTACAGTCAATCTTCTTCTCACTGTATATTTCGATCTTAGCATCATTCCACACTGCTCATTCTCGACATTTATCCCTTTTAAGCTATAACTTCTATGTTTAGCTTCCCACTACAGAGAATATCTCGCTTACCTTGATTTCCTTTTTGTCTTGTTAATTTTTTCATTATTTGTGCTTATGCAAACTGTTGTGACTTCAACTCATACACATTCAAGCCAGGTTTAACATTGTCTGTTTTCGGCCTTTTTGCCTATTTACATTTCCAAATTGATGCCGGGTTCTGAATATAAACCACCTGTTAGTAGACTTATTAATACATACTGTAAATCTAATTACCTAAACTGATTAAACTAAATTCTATTATTTTCTCATGCTAATACTCATCTGATTTTTAATTAATATACTGAATAACATCTACAAGGCACATCAAAACGATTTAGAACATGAACAGATAGTGGACACTGCGCTTGGATTCAAAATGAACAACTATTTCATTCAGTTAGTATTAATTCGTAAAACAATTACCTTACCATGTAATTATTTGTTCCAATAAATAGTAATCTTAATTAAAACGAAATTAGTCCAAAATATTTTGATACAAGCTAAGTAAAGGAAAATTCCCTTATTGTTTTCAACGTGTTTGTATAAACGCAATGACGAAATGTATCACCAGCTGAACTGGGTTTTTTTTCACTTTGTCAATACTCAATTATTTATTGTTGTATAATTTAGATCACTCAGCTGATAAAACAACCGGTAGAGATACCTAAATATTTTCTTAATATTTCCTCGAGAAAAAATATTCAAATGATAATGTGACCATTCACCCAACCAACAGAATCATTTAAAGCTTAATTAAAAGCAAGAAGTTAACGCCCGTTCATTTTAAAAACAATATTTTTATTCATTATCTAAAATTCATATAATTCACATAATACAATTAAAATGAAATATAACTGTTTTCTAATTAAAACATGAAAATAATAAGAAATTGGTGAAACGATTACAGTTTTCTAGATACATAGAAGAATGTAGAAGAAAAAAAAGCAATCAAATAATTTATGACAAAACACACACTAGTAACAGCGAAATTCAGTCTTTTTCTCACTTTCTACATAAAATGATATTAACGATAGACATAAGAGATGACAATAGGCTAATAACAAAGACTGATCACTTAGAAAACAAAACTGCTGAATTATATTATCAGCTACTTTTTAATCAAAGTATACTAAGATTAAAATAATCACAGATGGTTTCAAAAAAAAATGATCATCCCATTGACTTAATTATCTTACCAAATAAATAATGATTTTTTGTATGATAAGAAGAACGAATGAAAATTGAATGTAAATTCAAAGGAAGAACAATTCCTTGCATAAAATGTTTTAATTTATTTTACTATCTACGCTTTTTATGGTAATGTTTACAAATCTGAAGGTATTGTGATAGAAAAGGAAAAAACAAGAACACAAGAGAGGTGGTAAAACACAAATGATAGTAAAAAAAAGAGACTAACTTTGGTATTATCATGTTTTTTTAATCTAATAACGCTTTCTTTGTGTATATGTGCACTTGAAAAACTACTCATAAATTATAGCAATAATAATAATTATTATTTCAAAAAGTACTATAGGATTCAAGAGTTTCATGTGTATATTAATAATCTAATGAAGCTAAAAGTTAAGGCAGATAATGAGAATAAATAATAGAATGATTGTGGTTTAACTGCAGTTATTGAATTGCATAGATCTTCTGTGCAATGACAATAACGAATTCGTACATCATTGGTTCCAACACGATCAATACAACCCAGATTATCGATAACATTACTGCATTGACGTACTACACGTCTTTCATGTTCCACTAAAGGTAAAATATGTATATTACATAAAAATATGATCAATTAATTAGAATTTGTTCACAGATTACAAAGAAATAAAACAAAATACATCTTTCCTAGAAAATCAATCACTAGTTTATCCGGTATTATTTTTTTTGAGAAAAAAATGAAAGCAAATGTACTGAAAGTCCACGAAATGACAATTCTTTCTATTTTGTTTTACGACCGAATATCATTATTAGGACCAATATAATGGATTCTTTATCAAGCCATAAAATTAAATAGTAATCTTCGAATTTGCAAGATTTTTTTCTACGGGATGGGGTTGCCAACCCCATGCCCAACCCTCCTCTTCTACCCGGGCTTGGGACCGGCAGTAACTCTAGAAGAGTTACAGAAAGTAGACATAAGAAGGACGAATAGCAACTAGAAAGGATTTCCCAGGACAGGGTTGAGTGGAGAGTGCTGGTGGGCGGCCAATGTTCCTCCACGAGGGGTAACAGGCGTAAGTAATCTCCGAAGTACCTTCACTATTTAAAAGTTACAATGTGATACTAATATAACATAAACCACCATATTATCCAGTCGAAGTGCTTGAACACTATTAGTATCAGAAATAATACACTTCAATCTGTGTAACTAGAAACTTCTGCCATCATTTGTAGAAATAAATTACTTTATAACTTAGTATGTGAACATGTAGAAAGTTAATGTATCAAATTTACTTTGTTTTATAAAATGGGAGAAACATTGTTCACTTCAAGTTAACTTACAATTAAGCCTGTAATAAATTAACGTTTTCCTGATCTGACCTCTTATAAACAGACATTAGGTGAAATTTAATGCGTCATTGATGAAATCCATGAAACATGAGTACTGTCTGAAAAAAACCAGAGTCTTTTACCATCAACAAGTACTCAAGCAACACGATAGTTATTCGATAATTTGTGATTTCAAGTTTTGAAAAAATGTTCTTCGAGCAGTCAGCTTTTCGAATCAACCAATGAAGTGTGGATTCTAGAAAATCTTGAGATCAGTTTAGCAAAAACTGTAACATCAGTAAAACCACAAAACCATGTCCATCCACCTACAGTTAGAGGTATTTGGTCACAATTACTCCTGCAGTTTTGCTTATGGTAATATAAAAAGCCTCTTCATCACTGTAGTCACCAAACGATCAATAGATCACACAGATCCCTACCTTCTCAGAACTCCGAACAGAACGCCGGAAAGTTAGACGAGTAGTCATAAGTACCGACCTGCATTTTTACTTAGCCTGAGTAATTATATAAATAAAATAAAAGACCGAAAGCCACTACAATCCATTACCTTCAATATGTACAAAACCAGGTCGAGAGGGAAAGCGAACTCTCCCCACCCTCATTAAAACGAAACTTTTGCAAGTCATCGGGTTTCTGAATAAAATAAATCCACCGTAACGAAACTTTGTTTCACAGTTGATGTTCGACTAACTTTAACTTCGCGGAAAATAAGTGTAGTTTTAATTCCAGGTAATTCATAATGAGAAAAATGTTTACGTACAAAAACTGGTTAAGAAACCCAATCAAGGTTTCATGTGAAAATTATGGAAATCTAAATCAAACCATGATTAGTTTAACAGGAGTAACTTTACTGAAAACTCGAAAATTAGTGGTTGATTTTCAAACATTCTCACTGGTTCGTAAAATACGCTTCAAATAACTAAACGAAAAATACCGAAACTCAGTTTTCTCTAATAGTACTAAAAAAGAGGGGACAATGAAGGTTTGATTATCGAGACAAATGTTTGCAAATTACGACAAATCATAACTAAACTACTTCTTGACTAGCAAACAATCTCAAAATAATTCGCAACTTTTAACACGATGAAACTGTACTTTCGTTTTACTCAAAAATATGTAAAGCGGCCACATACGAATTTTACATAGTGTCTAACTTATTGCGGATCATTAATGTGACACAAAAGAACTAAAACAACTGCTGCATGGTACTCAACTTTCAATATTTCTGTTTGACTATCCGCAAAAACCCAATGATCTACATCACAAGTCACATAACTACAGTACACCGTATATTCAAACGAGATGTCAATTGATCAACATTTCTTGGCATAAATTTAAATGTTTCGATTAGCCAAAAACTTCATGCAGGGGTATTATTCCTAACTAGTTAATTTTCGACCACGTACTAAAAATCCCTTTACTGTCTGGTTGAAGGTTTATCAATTTGATTCTTCTGACGTTTAACAAAAAGGCTGATTCTTGATATAATACCAAACTCAAATTTCGTAAAAGTACTATGTAATCACAGCTGAGATAAGACTGGACTAACTATGACAAATGTTGAATTTCATTCTCGAAGTTGTTTCATTGTTGACATGTGGGCTTGCAATAAATCTTATTGTAAACAAACTCAAGCTTTTAGGTAACTTTTGAGGCCCAATAAAACGGTTGGAAAGTATACATAAAGAAAATTAGTAATGTTCCTATTACATATTCGTCAATCCTCTTGCATTTAATGACCAAGAAATATAATACTAAAACTCAGATTTTTATCACGAACTGACCCCAGTTGGATGACTACTGTAAATTACAGATCAACTACCGACATACTACAAGTATTGATATTACGTTCCTATCATAGAGTAGTTCACTTACCAACTTGATCGATTTTACGACAGCTTATTGGTTTGGACGCATCAATTCCGGGGTACTTTGAACAGTTTGTTATGAATGTAAACTGATCCCAAGGTTCACATAACTGGCCATCAAGATAGGAATTGCAGACCACGCACTGGATACCATAGACTGAAAAAGGAAACATCTATTACCTTGAACGTTTTATGTCATATCACAAATTATCATAAGTCTATAACTTGAAACTAAGTAATTGTACTGTAATAATATTGCATGTGATTAGTGACAAATGTTAAGTCTAGCAGGAAAATTCCAACTGACTTTCATCTAAACTGTAAACCAATAGGTTGTATGAGACCTCAAAACAGAGTTTATCCTGTAATAATACACTTTTATGTAAATGAGTAAAACAATAAAAGGTTAATCTAGAAGTATGGGAGTTTAAAACTGATGACACTCAGTCTTCAAAAAGTTCTTTTCCTCAAATTTATCATCGAATAAATTCCCCAGCATTATTATCCATTCCACCTAGATGAAAACACCTGGTTGTATGGAGGATGTGACCATACCGACAATAGTGACACCTAACCACCTAAAAAGTGACGGTAATTCAATCACCTAAGATTAGATGGGGTCTGGGAAAAGACCGTGATAATCAGTTGTTACTAGGTTACTCACTTCTAAACCGAAACTTACCTTTTGAAGAACAAGTATACGGGAATAGATCAAGATTGAAACACTGAATTATAAAATTTACTCTTATTTGTAAAATGTCTGGTAATGTAATCGTAAATGATTACGAACCTTAAGTGATTCTGTCCCAAAAAGAACTAACTAAAACCATTACATAGAAGTACTCTAAAGTTTGCATTTCGGATTTTAAGATTCACACACAAAAACGGTCAACTAGTCCTCTTTACATTTAATTTAAACCACTCACATATACGGATTTTTGCGCGGTACGTTTGAATCAACTTCAACCTGATATCAAGAACTTTTCATTAAATAGGGTATATTGTGTGGAGATTCGAAAGATGCAGTCCTCAGAAAGTCACTTACACAAATCTTCAGCTAGTAAATCACTTGAAATCGCACGTGATGGAAGTCGTAACCTTTCACAGGAACCAGTTTAATTTCTATCTATCTTTTCAACAGTGACGAACAATCGTTTGTTATTCACAAAAAAACGAAAATTACTGATGAAGGTACTTATCTCAATCTAACATTAGCTTTTCTGAGAAAAACATACATCTCATAAAACACCATTTAGGTAAATTAAAATAATGCGGAAAACCAACAGTAATATACATGGACTATGATTATCCACTGATTACATAAGAATAATTTAAAATGGTGTCTTAACTAAATTAGAGTGTGCTAAGGTTCTAACAGGATATGAATGCCAGAGTAAAGTTATGAGAAGTCCTCAGTTAACTGCAATTCCGTCAATACCTCTTTCTTTTTCTAGTAGTTCTAGTACTATTGGTCTTAACAACTGTAATTTGTCAAGCCCTGGAGTTTATGTTAAAATAATGTCATATTTTTATTAACCAAACGAAATTTGCTTATTTCACAAAAGTTTCTAGCCTTATAATTCATCATATTTTCGGATTCACATTCAGAAAAAGTGTACAGCAATTACAGAAGGGACTGGAGTCCAAAAAATATTTACTGCATATTACTTTGAGAATACATTATGATGTAATTTCACGACAATTAAAGGTACAAAGCTAAAAATGTAATGTGGGAATCTCCGGAAATTAGTAGTATATTGACACGAATAGGTTTTATCTGAGTTATTTGTTATATCGCAGCCATAACCGTTCATTTTGAAAAATTTAATCTAAGAAAATATGGAAGTCCGTTACGACTGAAAGAAAGCAGTACACTTAAATCAGTTTGTTATTAAGCCATGATAACTACAGCTGAAACTTATTACAAAACTTATTGGTGTATTTGCAATAAAGCGATGTTTATTTTCACTTGTAAAACTACATCTAGGAAATAAAATACTAACCTGATTCCTGTTGTAAAACACATAAGAATACAACTATTACTCCCAATGGCAGATGGCTGACGAAATAGTGAGTCATTTCCACAGCATTAATTGCTGCTTGTAGCCAAATGAAATCCTGTATTCAGGGCAAGACTACGTCAAAAAAACTTATTCCCAAAGGTTGCACGATCTTGTTAAAACTGACCAAACTGATGATTTGTTAATGGGATGAGTTTTACCACACTCCTACTTATCAACGAATCAGGTTCAAGGGAATAATAAGTGACCTTGAATGTCAGCCCGAAAATCTAACTAGACCTGAAATACGTAGGCCGGGATTTAATCGCACCACGGCAATTAGCGTCAAAGCGTTTTTGTTAGCGAATCATTCTGGTAAAACCCCAAAATTTAGAGAAATATATCCACTCGGGGCTAAATGTTGTGAATACAGTTACAACAGCAGACGGTCGTATCAGAAGATAAAACCAACGACTGAAGAAACAATATCACTTCAATTAGAATGATGAACTGAATCATCGAAATAAGAGTGAAAATGAACCATTATGACAGTATCCAAATCATATTAATATTTAAATATGCCTAGAATGCATGGTTGTAATGAAATCCGATACATAACAAAAGTCCTCCATGGTATAATTTATTTTAGCAAATGACGATCACATTTATCAACAGTAATTGATAAATTCCCGAAGTGATCGATATTACAATGTTTGGTTGAGTGGTCTGTACACGTTAGTTCATCCTAAAGACATTTTTTGCAAACTGGCATCAGTTGGACGACTATCCTGTTGTATAAAGATGTCTGAGATCCTACTTCACAATATTGGACTTGAATTTTCTGAACGAGCCACAACTTAACTGTTGTTATTGTTACCCATGTTTTACGATATTCCGAACAATAAATACAACTTTAATTCGTCATTACATGATGGATTGATTTTAAATAGTACACACCGTGGTAAGCTAGTTAGGTAGTTTTGCACAAACTAATGATCTAAAGAATATTCAAAATCCAAGTGGTAAGCCATCCACTTTGGACTGTAAAACCATTCGGGTCTCAATACTAAGCAAAGAAGAGTTCTTTTCTCGATTCTAGATACTTCTTGATGGGAAATGTCAACACAGCCACTAATTCTCGATCAGACTGTGAAAGAGCATCAAAAACCGAACTACTAAGTCGACTTCATATATGAGTGTACTTGCTTTAGTAAGTTGCAACATGGTAAGAGCCGAATGGGAATAAGAAAAACAAAAAACCTCAATGTCAAAAGAAAATGAAATATGAAAACTCAGTAGGTCGTGATTGATGTAACAATGTAAACATGTGGCTTTCAGACCTACACACGGGTAATACCTACTAGGTCAGTAGTGCGGTGGTTGACTGTTTAAGAAGTTCCACTTTCAACTGACAGGTCATGAGTTCGAACCATTCCCCCATTTCCGTTTTGGCACCCACATAGTCGGGTCCGAATTTCGTGCTACTTATCACTAGTAAGTAGTGTGTTTTCCATATGTATAAATCTGTACACGGTTAATCAATGCGTGTTAACTACTCTTGTTATGAGCAAGGAATAATTTATTCAACAAACATACTGCCTGTTATCACAGAAGGATGTAAAATATGGAAAAATCCTGCGGTAATTTTATGTAAACTCTTAATAATCAAGTTCTCTAAGAGATGAATCTAATGAATGGTAAAATCAGAAGAATACGATTATGATTTCCCACTATACGACCACCAAAATAATAATTTCTATGTCATTGGAGAAAAAAACTATTCTTCTGGTCCAAATGTTGTGTAGTATGCGTAGTTGATTCTCACTGGCTAGATCTTATCCTGTTTGGTCGAACAGTTGTTTGCCTATTGTCCATGAACAGATTGTTGGACTGAAACAAGGAAATAAAGTGTCTTGCCTGATAAATATTTAAATGCATCCCATTGCAATATGCTCTAATATCTACGTTATTTCAGTCAGTCTATGAAGCTGTTGAATAAATCTCGGTTATATATGTGGTATGTTTCAGCACTCATTAGAATCACACGAGATAAATTAATATAGGTTAAGGAAATTACTACATATATGTATCTTTACTTCAAAAATGATTCATCTGCTGCTTCTGTATAGCGGATGTATGCCGTCTTTGGAGAACATGTTTCCTTTAGATAATTATTTCCTAAAAAATCAAAAGATAAAATATTGCATACTATCAGTTTGCCTCCTCTTTGAATTCAGAATCATTGGTTGTCCATGGATGACGTATGGTGAGCACTGTTATGTTTGGTTGCTAAAAGAGATAACATTGTTTACTTAAGAAGTTCTACAATCAAACAACTCTTTTTATTAAATCGTATTTGATCTCATTAAACTCTGCCCTAACCTGAGGGTTAACACCCTCTAAACTAGTTAAGGTCTCACATATGTGTGTGAAAACTTTAATAACGTGTAAAACAAAATTGATTAGTCTCATTTTACCTTTTGACTGTATCATGCGATTTCCGAACGTAGCCCGACATCTTTTGAGTTCATTGACAACTCATATCTAATTATTTTGTGATCTCAAGTTTCCCTTTGATGAGGTTTCTTTAAAGTAAATATGTTTTGTGTGAGAAAGCATTTAAGTAAACGTAATATACCCACTTAGATATAAAAATAAGAAAGATTAGTACAGAGGAAAGTTCTCTTTTCAGTTAATTTATTTTCAAAGCCATAAAATCGCAAAAATATACTTATTTTTCAAAATGATAATAATTTCAATAACTGTGATAATAAAATTTCCCTAGACATGGTAACAATGAAATAAAATAAGTGAAAGTATAAAAACGTTATTTTTAACAAGGAAACTAATAATGATGTTGGGAGCTTGAATATTCATCATGAAGATAAATAAAGAAATCATGATTTAAAAGGGAAGGTTCAGAGTGATAAAACATGTTGAAGTTGAGAAGAACTGTAATTAGAAGGATCATGGAAATGGAACCAAATTAGATGGGTGTAAAAAGTCTATGGAGAATAAGGTAGAAGGAAAGTAGATGACTGTTAGAGAAGAAAAAATTGCAGGAGATTAAGACTTCGGTAGAAGAAGAGGTTTTGCAAGTTTCTTTTGTATACATAATTCTGGTTTTTCTGAACGTATAGTAAGTGTTTCGACAATGTTAGGAAGACAGAATGTAACTGCCTTTGACAGATTTCTACTTTAGTTTAGTGGTCATTCGATCAAAACGGATTCGCGGTCACAGTAAGTCCCCATTTGCAGACTGATGAAACTTGTTAGTGTGTAGTGTGGCATCGAGTTGCGTTTGACTATGAACACCACTACAAGAAGAGCGCGTACCAGAAAATCAGAAGGCGAATGAAGGTTGTAACAGGATTTATTCGTTGGCGATCTAGTGGTATCGGAAGTATACCGAGATCGTGCCAAAGGAAATACAAGCGGAATCAATGGGCAAACGTGCGAGCGTACAAGGCCACAGTAAATGGAAGAATAATGAGGGAATAATAGACGTCTTTAGTACAGTTAAACAAACAAGCACAGTAAAACAATCACTGGTACAATTGGTTATAATAATAATTGTTTCCATTAAACCAATTGCGTTCTCTTGATAAAAGTAGGTCACTACAAGTGAATCTACATCAATAACTCAATATTCAAATAACTTTGTTCTATCCTTTCGACCAACATACTTGAACAGTCTACTTTCATTAATCACAAAGGTTTATGTTATCCCGTTGTTGATATTCAGAACAAAATCTGATGAGTCTATGCTAAGAAACACAGATCAAAACTCAGCTCTAAATGTCGACAACGTAATAACAAAAACTCTTAGGATTAGACATTATGGTCGTCAGTCATATCTATCTGTATATAAGTGTTGATGCTCATAACTTAAATCCAGTAACTTCCACTTAAAACGCAGGATTTGCTATCTATTTAGATAATAAGTCAAAACAGCCACTAACTTGTAAAACGCGGATGAATTTTATTATTTATCTGTAAATGTGCGAAGCGAAAGGCACCGGATTGAACTCCTAGCGTGAACATTGGGATGCAGATACATTCATCTGACGGGAATTAAACAGAATGAAATATGTCTCCTAGATTCCACTGCTTCCTGCTATCCATCTTTACTTAAGTACTTGTAACTTTATGAAAAGATCGAGGTGATCTGTTCAGGATCATAGTATGTTAAAAGAGACTGGTCAGTTGTAGGGAGTCCCTCTGACAAATTCCGATAATACAATGATAAAACGAAGTTTATCAGAATTATGTGGTATATTTGTGCAATACCTACCCTGGTAATACTGATTTACTATCCAGAGTGGTAATCACATCGTTTTTGTGTACTTTATTATTATTATTTCTTACCTTTAACCTGTCTAGTTGACCTTTTAATTTTCATATAAAAAATGTCTTAACAAGCATATGTGTGATCAAATTGTTCGAAATTTATTGCACAAATTTATCACATAATTCTGATAAACTTCGTCTTCTCATTGCATTATCAAAATTGATCAGTTGCGGTTCGTAACGTCAACAACTGGACGATTCAGACAAATAACCTTAAACTGTAATGTTCGCCAATAACAACCGATCAAACATAATGACAAGCAGACATAACAAATAGACTCAACACGAAATTGTTAAAAAGTGGATTATGAACACCATACCAATTAGTTAGAATCAATTATCATGAGCTGGCTGGATAAAATAACATGATAAATTTGTAAACGATACGACAAGTTAAAAGAAAGAGTTTAAGAAAGGTAAAATACAGGCAATAGCTTAGCGAAACTACGGGCTACGACGGTAGCAAGAGAAAAGATGTAGTAAGTTTCTTTAGCTCATCTGGTTGATATTTCAGTGTTTATGGGGAATGCTTCAACAATGTAAAATAGACAAAAACGTGTTCACAAGATTCTTTATTATCGATCTCCCATAAAATCACTAATGTCTATTTTTAATCACGTTTTTTAGATAAACTCCGTTGAACGTAATACGCTTAGAACATCTCATTTCAATACTCCATCTGGAACAAGCATCCGATAAACACATACTGAAGTAATCAAATGTAAGAGC